ATTAGCCATTTTATCTCGACGTTTATTCGTCGCCGGAGGTCTGAAATCTTAAAGCCAAATTTCCCGCGCGAATTACGCCGTACTCACCCCAGGTCCTCCCCTGTCATGGCGTCCTCAACAGAAGACCCCGTCCTCGATCTTAAGGTCCCTAATAGCTGCCTCCCAAATACGTGTGCGCAGATATCTCACATCTCGTACAGATGCTTCGGGTGAAAATTACAAAGGCGTCAGATGTTTCCTAGATGCGTGCATTAAATACCGAGGTCCTAGGGGTTTCATAAACCCGTTGCTTGCATCACAGATCGGTGGCTTGCGATAGAGATTTGTGGCATGCGTGAATAGAAGCCTCGCAGATACGTGTGCTCAGATGCGTCACATCTAGTACAGATTCTTTGCATGTAAATTACACAGGCGTCAGATGTTTCCCAGATGCGTGCATCAAATCTCGAGGTCCCATGGGTTTCATAAACGCGTTGCTTTCGTAACAGATCGGTGCCATGCGTTAGAGATCTGTGCTATGCGTAAATAGATGCCTCACAGATACGTGTGCTCAGATGCGTCAAATCTAGTACACATTCTTCGCATGAAAATTACAGAGGCGTCAAATGTTTCAAAGATGCATGCATTAAATCCCGAGGTTCCAGGCGTCTCATAAACTTGAGACTTGCGTCACAGATCTGTGGCATGCGTGAGAAGATGCCTGTTTCCTTCGTTTGTAGAGGCGCGACACATCTAGGGGACGGACTTTGCACGCATGCCACTCCAGCGTCAGATGTTTCCCAGAGTCGTGCTTTAAATCTCGAGATCCCATGGGTCTCCTTAACCCGGGATTCTAGTGGCAGCTCGGTGGCATGCGTTACAGATCTGTGGCATGCGTGAGAAGATGCTTGTTTCCTTTGTTTGTAGAGGCGCGACACATCTAGGGGACGGACTTTGCACGCATGCCACTCCGGCGTCAGATGTTTCCCAGAGTCGTGCTTTAAATCTCGAGGTCCCATGGGCCTCCTTAACCCGGGATTCTAGTGGCAGCTCGGTGGCATGCGTTACAGATCTCTGGCATGCGTGAGAAGATGCCTGTTTCCCTCGTTTGTAGAGGCGCGACACATCTAGGGGACGAACTTTGTACGCATGCCACTCCGGCGTCAGATGTTTCCAAGAGTCGTGCTTTAAATCTCTAGGTCCTATGGGTCTCCTTAACACGGGATTCTAGTGGCAGCTCGGTGGCATGCGTTACAAATCTGTGGCATGCGTGAGAAGATGCTTGTTTCCTTTGTTTGTAGAGGCGCGATACATTTAGGGGACAGACTTTGCACGCATGCCACTCCGGCGTCAAATGTTTCCCAGAGTCGTGCTTTGAATCTGGAGGTCCCATGGGACTCCTTAACCTGGGATTCCAGTGACAGCTCGGTGGCATGCGTCACAGATCTGTGGCATGTGTGAGAAGATGCCTGTTTCCTTCGTTTGTAGAGGTGCAAAACATGTAGGGGACGGACTTTGCACGCATGCCACTCCGGCGTGAGATGAACCCATTTTTATTGAAAGGTTTCCAAGCGGTGGCTTTTAAAATTTCATGGTACAGGGGTAAGGCGCTTGACTGCTAATCTGACGATCAGAGTTCGAACTCCAGCGGTCGTGTCCAACCAATACCACATTCCTTTTTCCTTTTTTTTTTACTTTTTAATTGTGCTGGTTAGACTTTACAGCTCTTACCTTATTTCTTTTCTGCGTAGACACTTATGTATTCCATGTAGGATCCTTCGCACGAAAATCGATGTTTGCTTTGAGATTTCATCTGTGTTGTGTATCAATCGATCATCTTCTTTGTTTCCTGGAAAAATATCTGCTTTTTGTTGCTTTCGAGTCGTAAACCCAGTTTTTTTGCTTTGTGCACATAGCTTCTACACTACTCAAGTTATCGATCTGTTTTATAGTACCGATATCAACCCTACTAATGTTAGTGATCTGTTTTATATATTTGCATATTTGAAACAAAATCGGCGTGCACCCATATCCTTTCTGTCATATACTAGTCTTCTTCTAAGTCTAAAGGCAACTCGCCATTGCAATACAACACCACTCTGCCCCCAATCTATAAAAATTATTAAAATTATTTTCCTTGTCGGAATGAAATGGTACATTTTTTATTTTGTTCATGGTGACAAACCTTCCAATTTAACTGGCGACAGTGAAACCCTTACTGAAGAGCCTCCTGCTAAGACATCACTGGTTTCCAATTGTGGTTAGTAGCATGTAAGAAGAGTAAATTGGCGATATTTACAAGTCCGGAATGTTTTTAATCTATCATTGTGTAAGGAATTATTGAAGTCATTGTTTCTCTGACCACCACTGGCTTACGTTTATTGCAAACCAAACTCAAGAATGAACTTTTCAAATCTTCACTCTGGTCTGTCATACTGTTGTGAGTTAAAATTGAAAATTGTTATTTTGAGCCTTTTTTTTCAGTTAAGCTTTTTGTTTTGTTGAGCCTTGCCTTTTGCGCGTACGTGTTATTTTGGTAGATCTATAGTTTTGATCTTTTATTTTTAGTGAGTGCTTGAACTCGGCTCAGTTCGCAGATTTCCTTCTTACCGGCTAGACATTTTAATCGCTTGTTATGGTTGAGAATAATTAGTTTCATAAGTGGTCATGTTTGGATTGGTAAAGCTGACCTTGAGTTCTACCCACATTGGAGTTCCTGTTTGTGTGCGCAATTCCTGTGCGCAGCTGTTAGCGTTAAATAGGCCATTTTACAGTTGTGTACTTAGTTGCGAAGCCTTTGATTCANCGTGAATAGATACCTCACAGTTACGTGTGCTCCGATGCGTCACATCTACTACAGATCCTTCACATGTAAATTACAGATGCGTCAGATGATTCCCAGATGCGTGCTACAATTTCCCGAGGTCCCAGGGGTCTAAAAAAGACGTAACATGCTTCACAGATCTGTGGCATGCGTTACAGATCTGTGGCATGCGTGAATAGATGCCTCACAGATACGTGTGTTCGAATTCGCGTCACATCTAGTACAGATGCGTCACATAGAAGTTACAGATGCGCCCGATGTTTCTCAAAAGCGTGCTACCAATTTCCCAGGTCCCAGGAGTCTCACAAACACGTGGCATGCGTCACAGATCTGTGGCATGCGTTACAGATCTGTGGAATGCGTGAATAGATGCCTTACAGATACTTGTGTTCACATGCGTCACATCTAGTACAGATGTTTTACATGAAAATTACAGATACGCCAGATGTTTCCCAGATGCCTGCTACCGATTCCCGAGGTCCCAGGGGTCTCACAAAAACGTGGCATGTGTCACAGATTTTTGGCATGCGTTACAGATCTGTGGCAGGCGTTAATAGATGCCTCACAGATACGTGTGCTCCTATGAGTCACATGTTGTACAGATCCTTAACATGTAAATTACAGATGCGTCAGATGTATCCCAGATGGATGCTACCAATTCCCGAGGTCCCAGGGGTCTCACAAACACGTTGCATGCGTCACAGATCTGTTGCATGCGTTTAAGATCTGTGGCATGCGTCACGGTCAGCTAACCCAAACATGTCCACGATTTTCCTACGTAAAGCGTTGGTTCCTCACGCTAGAGCATGATTATTAGATGCATAGAGCGTTGCTGTAGTAGCTCTCCAGAAGAGAATAAAAGAAGAAAAGTACAGAGTCATGGCACCTCTTGTTAATTCGTCCGAGCGAGCTGTAAAACTCCCAACAATACTGCTGCTGAGACAAGTAGTACAAAATCGAAACGTAGCTAGTATTTCACATCGACGTCATTTATAAAACCCTAAAACGCTGCAAACGAAAGTTTTTCTGTCAGGTTGTCATTTCTGCAAAGAAAGTGTTTAAGATAGTTTAGGTCATTAGGCCGGCGATAAGCTAATGCCAATCTTAATTTTATTTGATTCTCTTACTGTCCAGGAGTGTGTGAGGGTAATAGGACTTGTTTGCAAACGATTTCATTCTGTACAATACAGTGCTCTGGTGAAATCTGGAAGACATTGCAAACCGTTGTCGAATTTAGCACGGAGTTTTCAGTCAACTATAGTGAAGCATGCCAAGCATTTTCAACATCTCGGATTGAGATGTTCGCAAAAACGTGTACATTACAATAATCTGGATTTGTACGTTGAGAACACTACTGGATTATGTGTGAATTTAAAGACTCTTGATTTATCTTTCAATACATCTATCACCACTATAGATTTTATAAAATGCATGCATTCCCTGAAAGTTCTCAAATTGTATGGGTGTACCAGCATTGATGCTGTAAATATGTTGAGGTGCCTTAAGCTTAAGCAGTGTAAAATGCTTGTAGCCCTTAATATTTTTTATTACATTCAGTTCAGTGAAGATGAACACATTTCGGGTTTAGTTGAGGTGTGTAAAATCTTAAAATGTCTTAAAGTGTTTAAGGCTGAATGGATCTGTAAGTTTACGCCTCAAACGGCCGGGGTTATGTTACAAACAAACAAGCTAAATAAGTTTGCTGTGACTCCAACATGGGGTCCCCCCCCCCAACTGTTTGGATAGAGCTGATGAGACAGTATGAAGACGTACAATTTAGAAAATGCCTCATGTCTCAATGGGAAAGACTGATCTTGAAAAGATTTCTTGCTTTTGGCTTTCAATTTCTATCAGATGTTATAAACAAGGCAACTTTTGCTTTCAAAAGAGAAGCACACGTGCGATTACTGTGACTTGCTACCAGGGGAGCCCTATTCTAAGACATGTGGTAGTGGGACACAAATTCGGACACTTAATTGTAGCAGTACGAGGCAAAACACTCCAGTATGGCGAGACTGCATCAACAACAAAGAAATTCAAACAAGAAGCTGTCAAAAAAGACCCTGCACAGGTATGAAACTCTAAGCCCTACTTGGCAACTTACTTTTTGAATCTTTTCTAATATTTTTAGTGAGTGTTCCACAGAGTCAAAGAAAAGAGTGTGCACTCTCAGTTATTACAAGGTACACGGGCGTTTCCGAGAAAACGACACTTAGGGTAAAACTTTTTAAAGACTTTGATAGCATGAGGCGCTGCGAGAAGTTGCTACAACCTGCATGATTATGACTACATGCTGACACAACAATATCTATTAACTAGTACTCGCAGAGGTCCAGACTGATTTATCGTTTACACCATGAAGTAAAGCAAAAACTGCTGGAGCTTATCGGTGTGCTCCCTCTGGCACCACGAGCCTGAGAGCCATTTAAGAAAAGTCGCCCACTGGTTTTTGCCCCTGCACAACAAGAAACTCATCACAGAGTTTCTGTGGCCTTATAAACAGTGGCAGATTATACAACCGTGGAAACCGGAGGTCCAAGTTTCGATTCCTCAAGGGGACTCAGAAACTTTTCTTTGTCCCGCGCTCTTGACAAGAAAAACAACCTCTTTATCTTACATTAAACTCTATTTTTCAGTCAAGAGAGATTTCAACCTCTTTCTTGCTAAAAATGTTCTGTAATCCTAACATAAGCTAAGTGTAGTATGCAGTTTGTATCCAGGATATGCAGTTGATTGTGTTGTGTGATCGTCTGGGTGAAAGAGTAGCTGTGAGGAACCTTCTTTTCCGAGACAGTATGTGTGATTTTTTGACAACTTGAAGTGAGGCCATAATTAGAGTCAAGTGTGTGCTGACTATCATGATCAGGCTCAAGTTTTTGAAACGTCACCCACTATCACTATTTAGTATTAAATTTTAACCGTTAGTCAGTGAAAAAAAGTTATCCGTAAAAATTGTTGCTTTCCACAATGAGTCACTTTGGTTAACCGTTAGCCGTATAATGGCCAAAATTATAACCGTAAGCCATAAATCCCATGATCGCATTGAAACCCTCTGAGTATATAATCCTATTTTAACTGACGACTACTCTCACCTGCACGATTGCACAGCTTCTGTCTTCCGCTAAATAATCAAAGTGTTACATGAGTATCCGGCTCATTCAGGTGAATGGTTCCCCTTCTCAGCATGGACTTTTCCATTTGTTTAATTTATATTTTCAGACATTGCTTTAAAGTGTTTCCAGTGCAAGGGCTTAGAAAAGTACTGCCCTCAAGACAAACTCAAGCGCAACCGAACACAAGACGCTTGCAATCAATACGCGGAAAGATGCATCATAAAAACGTTTATGCTTGATATTGGGGAAAATGAGGTGACCAGAGGCTGTGGAAGGGAAACTGAGTGCAAATTAGATGTGCAAGATTGTGGGAGGAAGAGGAATTCCCACTATAGATGTCATGTGAAATGCTGCGAAGGAGATTATTGTAACAGCAGCAATCAAATCTTCTGCAGAGTGCATGCTAGCATCATGTTTGTCATGTGTGGTTTTCTATCTATCATGATAAATCTACAGTAATTCAATATATAACATCAAGAACTTGCCATCAATATTATGCTTATCAGTTATTCAGGGATGAAGAACGTTTTAATTACGAAACAGTATGGCTCCGTCAGTCATGAGGGACCGAAGGAGGTCATTGGAGGGTTTTGGTTGTGTTACGATAACAATTACCTGATCCCCCATAAGGCTCTGTAATATTTTTATAGCCTCCCGTCGCCCCCTCCCCCTCCCTCCCCCCATCAGTGGTAGTCAGTTGGCGATCAATTTCTTTAGTCCCCCCTTTTAAACTCTGTTAGTGACAAATGACCCCCCTCCATTCCACTTGTAAGCCTTGCCTTAAATTCCTCCACATCCCCACCCCCTCCCCCACCCGGGCGAAATAATGACTTGTTCCTAAGTGTTCCTCTACATTTCAAAAGCGAGATTTTTTCCTTCCATGCACTTATGATCTGCTGTCCAGGTAGTCGTTAAATTCGTTGAAAGATATACTTTGAAACGCAGCTTTACTGTGATTTTGTTTACAGATAAAAACGTCAATCAGTCTATTATAGAACGATGCCATCAACAGCTCAGTCAGTTTCTTTCCTGCTATGTGGAACAAGTGAACCCTTAACTCGCAAGAGTGACCAAAACAGAACTTCTCCTTACAGCATCAATACAATATTAACCAGACAAGTGATGATAATAGAAAAATATATCACAACAAGGTGATTATTGATCCAATACCAATTTCTCCGAACCTACATCACGAGTATTGTATCGCAGGCAGTAAGGAGATTTATTAATCAGACTTTGGGAGTGAATAGGCAAGGTTAAGCAGGTAGTATACTGCTATTTGACTGGTTGACTAAATTTAAAGGTCGCACTAATGGAAGAAGCAAAACAGTACAGTACGTTTTTCGTATAATTACTAATCATAGATAGACTTTATTCTGTATAGTTTTTCGACTGAACCTAGATAAAGATTAACATTAAATCGTATTATTGTCCTTAGTTTGTTTATCACTTTCAACTTTTTTAACTGAAACGAATTGAAATTAACTTCGCCAACCCGATAATCAACACAAACGTTCTTTCTTGTTTTCCCGGCGATTTCTTTGGTCTGTTCTTTTTATTAGGCTTTTAGGACCTAGCTACGCAGAACATTCGATATGATTCCTTAACACTATTCTGAACTGACAAACCGAAAGAAACTACTAGGGAATTTGTTCAGTCACGACGGGTGCACACGAAAACTAAAGAATTTATGCGGTCAGAGAGCCCAAGCATAAATAATAGTACCGTTCTTTGCATCTTCGCTTTTTGTCAGTTTTGATAACCTGGCAGTCAGTTCCTCTAAATATTCGTGTGCGGTTGAAACGTAATCAGGTCCCCCACATCCCTGTTTGCTGCCTTCGTAGTAACGCAGAGCAGTATTAATAATCGATCTAGTCTTGTGCTTTAACCGTTTATAATTAGGTTTTCATAAAATGTATTTGTTCGTAATCGTTCACTCCTTTTAAGTAGGAAACATCGAAATGAATTGGCCTTTGGATAGCTCTGAAAATCCTTTATTTGAACGAGATGTATTGGAACGTTGAAAACAGGGACCTTTAGCAGTGACGACGAGAACGTGAACGTGACCGACCGGAAGTTGGGAAAACGAACTTCGATGCTACCACGCATGCCCAATCAAGCACGAGTCGTCGTCCACATCTCGTTCAGGACGCAATTTGCCGCCATTCGCCATCTTGACGAGAACGTGAGTATGTTTTATTTGTTTTCTAATTTCTACTTACCTATCTAAGGGATTTCTTCAATCTAAAGGGTAGGTTAGGGAATAAAAACAGTACCGAAAGTAATTTGATAGAACCGTGATGGAAAAAAACTTTATTTCTTTCGAGTTGCAGATTGAGCTTTACAGTTTACAGCGGAGAAAGCAATGGCGGATGACGATAAAAGTGCTGCAGGGTATATACGTAGCCTTATAAATGCTTTTCTAAATATAAATCGCGGATATTTCGTTATAGTTTTGTAATTTATAACAGCTGGCATTTTTAAGAAGATTTCTGGGCTTTGAAAAATATCCCAACCGCTCGGATCGACTGTGTATGTAATCTTAGCTTAGCTCTGAATCACTTGACGTTGATTACAACACTGAAAAAAGGTTAAATTGTTTTAGTGGATAATTTTTGCATTTTGAAATTAGCAGGAAAGGACTCGTCCACGTAACCGATGTGCTAAAGTATTTATGTTTCCCACCGTGGACGACGGTCCCGTCCCAGGGACCGGTCGTATACGTCGTCGTCCACGTTCCCGTCGTCGGTGCTAAAGGTCCCTAACATCAACAGAACACCAACGCCGCGGATGGTAAAATAATATTAAAAAATTATGATATGATTTGATGCTCTCATAAAAAGCCCATTAAAAGCGAGGTAAGTTAGATAAGGCGCGTAAGGAAAGACAAATGCGAGAGAGGAACCAATATCATTGTTCTCGGCCTGCTTTAAGCCCCTTCACTGGAAAATGGAGCTACGTCCACCTTTAAAAGCACGCACAACCCACAATTCCTCTATTCGCTCCGACGAAGGGCTAACGCTCGAAACGTCAGCTTTTGTAATCGTTACGGTGGCCAATTTACCATTTCAACTTTGTTGATATATCCAAATTGTAAAGAAAATGTTAGGTACGATCAGTTCATGTTGAATATTTTAGAGCCCCAAAAGCTACCATGTCTCTGAAATATGTGATACACAAAGGTCACAGCGCTTTGTGATTGGTCATTGCTTAAGGAGGCTCGAAAGGGTTTTTTTGACCGCGCGGAGAATGAATTCCAAGATACACGCAAGCAAATTACTCGCGAGAGAAATAAGCGATGGTGCGCGCGATCAGATCCGCGGCCGAGTTGTAAACAAACATGGCGTTTCAAAATTGCCGGGTACCTCTATTGTTTCCAGCGAAATTGGCCGTTTGAGAAACAAAAATGGAAAGTTTACTTCTTGAAAGTGGGTAAGAAAATGTTTGGATGGCAGGACTTTTGCCGAAAGTGGTCAAAAAAAGTTTATTTAACAAGCTAAAGGAGGATGGTGAAGTCAACACCCCATCAATAAAGTTGCGACGAGTGTATTCGGTACGTCTTACTTTGTTCCGCGAAAATTTAAGTGGATACCTCTGAGTGCTACGATTTGTTTCGCATTGAATTTGATTCCTAATAAAATGAAATGACCGAGAACTTTCCT